TGGAACCTTCCAGTTGAAATAACTCTGGTTTCTGTCCCCTGCGGGGCTGGGAGGGGCGCCTGGAGATACACCCTGCGGTGGGGTTGGGGGTCAGCCCCTGCGAGCGCCTTTCCCCTGGGAAAGGCGATGGCGCCCTGTCTCTGTTGATGAAGCTTCACCTGCGGTGGCTTGTGATGAACTGGCCGCTGAAGCAAAGGCCTCTAGACCAGGGAGCTGCTGCGGGGTGTGTGTGTGGGACTGGGCATGGGGTGGGGGGCTCGCCTGAGCGCAGCATTCCCGCGTGCAGGGAGAAGGTGACCACTTGGGCCCTTAACGTTAGGCTCAGGGCTTTAGGACGGCCCTGAAAAAGTAAACAGCCTCTGTTCTGGTAGCTGCGGGAGGAATCCCAGAAAAGCAGGCGGTAGATGTGATTGTGCTGGTTGCTGCGTTTACAGCCACAGCTGAGTTGAGTTGGCGTCTTGTGGCTTCGTGGTTGTTTGCGAGTTAGGGTGCTCTCCAGCGGGGTGGGAGCCCGAAGCCTAGAAGGAAGCAGCTGTTGGACCTGGATGAGACTCTTGAATCCCCAAGTCACTCTGAGCCTCCCTGGCAGAAGGCCCACCCTCATCTGCCCTGAGCTTGAGAACCCCCCAGAACCCCTAACACCCAGTGCCCCTAACAGCCCCCACCTGCTAGAAGACCCATAGGGAGCACAGCACCCAGCAGGCCCCTGGGAGCACGGGTGGCCGGAGCTGTGCGCCCTCAAATTGAGAACAGGAGGCATTTGTGTTCATGCATTCACCTGTGGTTCTGCACTTGACAGCTATGAACAGTCAGGCAGGGCTCTCGCTTTCTCTCCCCACACCTGTAAGGGCAATTACACGCGGCTACACGCGGCTCCTGAGCCTTCATAGGACTGGATACTCTTCGTTAGTAGGACTGCTAACGTTGTTGCTTTCAGTTGAAACTACATTGTTGGATAAATCAAGTAAATATGTTGACAGAGCTGATATTTTAGCATCTAGAAAGTACAAACACATGAACTGAAAAGTTCTGTTAATTATTTGATTTGGAAGTATCAATCATTAACTTGTAGTTTAAAAAAAAATACATATTTCAGAAATGTCCATTCGTGAAACCCAGAAATAAGAATTACCTTTTCCCCTTCCCCTAGCAGGAGTGAACATCCTTAGTGCCCACATTCTGGTTTCCCTGCTCCTTACCGTAAAGAGGAAAGACTCTTTGCATAAATGGCTAGTTCTAAGTCTGAGGCAGCTTCTTTTGCCAAAATCAACAAGGAAACACTAAAGACCCATAGGGTGCATCAGTGGAACACAGGAACTCGCTTGGGTTCCAAGTGGGACAGATTTGAGCATAAAATAGTAATGACTGAGCGTAACTCATGAAATCAATGAAAATCCAAAGCACTTTGGCCACAAAACATGATGGCACCAATTTTATTACATCAATTTTTTATTCTGAAAATTGACAATTAAGAGGGAAGCTTGACTTATCTGGTCTCGTTCGGAGGAATTTTAATTCATTCCCCGTTAATGAGGAAAGGCTGTGTTGCGGTTTTTCAAGACTCTCAGCTAATGAATGTAAGCGGCCTGGTGAGTCAAGGCGGGCACACCACCACGCATGGCTGCTAAGCCGGTGAGCCGCCCCAAAACGGCACCAGAGAAGATTCTGTTACTCCCTGCGCTTGTTTCAGGGGCAAAGTCCGGGAGCCCTGCATTCCTAGGGCATCGCGGTGCAACCTGGTGGTTCTCAAATCTTAAGCCCCAACTTCCAACATGGTGATTGCAGCGGGTGCAAGAATTTAGGGCGTCCGTGAGGGGGGGGATCTCGACCTCGGGGCCACTCACCACCCACGAGAGTGTAAACCCCGGTGGTAGCGTTTCTCTCTGGGGTGCAAGTGCCTGACAGAGGCTTGGTCACCCAGGCACCTGCCTCCAAGAGACAGCTCCCTGCACGGCCAGTCTCCCCCAGAGCCCCGCTTAATTTAGATAACCGGCTGCATGTGCACCCTGTCACCTCACTGTCATCATAAGATTTGGACGACGTCACTGTGAGCCTTCCCCAGGTGCCTGCCTTCTTCCTGGGCTCGCCCCCTGCGCCCTAGCTCTGCCAAGGCAGGATGGGTCAGGGAAGCAGGCTCCACTCAGCGAGGAGGCGGCCTGACACTGGTGGGCCCAGGGCGAGCTCTCCCCAGTCTGGGCCCTGAGCAACAGGTTACAGAGCGTTTGTCGACTTAAGCCGAGGGTACAGTCTTCTGGAAATGCATGAGTCAGGGTGCGTGTGGCCTTGAGGATGCTTATCATCTGTTCCCCGAAACTGTCAGTCTGCAGGCTGTCCCAGCTTCAGCCAGTCAACAGGTCAGCCTGATATTTTCTGCTCATTATATTTACAGGGCTTGGGCTGGCAGGTGGTGCATGACAGTGATAACACCAGGAAATGTTAAGGAGCTGGTACCCCTGAGGCAATAGTCTGGAGAGGCCTCCTGCCCTCCTCACCTACTGGAACCTTAGTCCAGAAGCCTTTCCTCAGTGGGCCACAGTGACCTTGCCATCCAGTCCACCCTCAGCTCTCCCTGGCCTTGAGGCCTGGAGGCACTTTCATTCATAGTCAAGTCAGGCCTTTATAATGAGTGGGCTAGGGTCTTGTTTAACTTTGTGACCTTGATCATATCGCTCTGAGGATCTTTGAATGGTGAGAGCAGCGGTGGGTGACATTTTGGGGGTGGTTGCTGCGGGCACTGCCCGGCAGGGGTGATGTGAGCATGGGCACAGGGCACGGGCGTGCCTTCCCGCATGGGGTTATCGCCGAGTTAGG